ATACTCTTCTAAACACAGATGCATTCACAATTAGAACCAATATTAAAATGTTGCTGTCTTTGTTTGATATTGTGTCTCATTTGAATAATTAGTTATCACAGATCCTTAATTTGTCATGTTCATAAAGTTCTAAAACTGCATTAATTCCAAGTGGAAAGTTTACAGGAAAAAAGCAACCAAGAAACATTATCATGTCATTAAAGTTAATTAAAATAATTAAGAAACATTTAAACAGAAAACCCAAAGAATTGGGAAATAAATCCTGAGAAATAGGGACTGTAGTATCTCTATTGACATCATCTATTTCAGAAGTGCAAGGAAGGCAGCCAACGTTGCGGTGAAGCGGTGTGGACGAGTGGTAGCTCCACAAAGTCCTGCCAATTTCTTCAGTCTGGAGGCTCCATGGGGCCAAAATTCACCCTGTAGGAGTGACGAAGATGGAGAGGATGCTTCGGTGGTCACAAAGTGAGCGCAGTCTCCTCGTTTGACCTGAAGGAAAGAAAAGAAATGGTAGATATAACTGGGACATTGGAATTTTGACAGATTGCTGAGTAAATTTCTACATTTATTAAAATAAGGCAAAATGGGACTGCAGGGGGAAATGTACTACTGAAAGAAATATTGATGCACCAAAGTACGCAGGAAATGATGACAAGGAATCATAGGGAGATAAAAGAATTGAAACATGATGTAGTTGTGAGACCAGAAAACTATGACCAAAAGACACTATTCAGGAAGTAGAGAAGAAAATAGAAAGAACAGAAGAAAGGACAGGGGAGGGAAAATGACAAATGATACAAAGAGACAAAAAAGAAGAGATAGTAAAAGCTGAAATAGAAATGGTAAATTACACTTTAAGAGATCAAAAACTAGAAGGGGATGCACAGAAAGATCATTGAAAGTTGTATTGAGATTTTAAGAGTGAAGCGGCAGAGATAGAAGAAATACTTAGATCAAACACAAACGAGACAAGAAGATATACAAGATCCCAAGGGAGGAGTATGAGAGATGTGCCAAGAAGTCAATAAGAGTTGAGATATGAAGACAGACAAGAGATGAGGGATAAATGCAGAATACTGTTTAACACGGGGGTTTTACTATTAAGAATTAGTATAAAGATAGAAACTAGAAATGGGGGAAATACTGCTTTTTTAATTTGGGAACTATTTTATTAATGGTTAAAAAAATAGCAGTTAGATATGTGGATATGTAAACAAAGATGAAGCAATTTGTGTAATTGAATAATGAACATTGAATAATTAAGTAAACTGTATGGTTATTTGGAGGCTAATGGCTATAAATGTGTTTATATGTCTTATAATGTTTGATATTAACTGATAAAAATGAACAGAGGGCTTAACACAAAAAAATTAATAAGGATAAGTGAAGATGATGTTGAATAGGTATTGAGAATAATAGTCATAATTATTGTGTGTATAAGATTTATTATCTCTACTTAATGGAGATTGTATCCAGAAGGTATACTCTATAGAAATTTTATATATAACCAAGAAAATTATATAATAAAAAATAATTAAAATAAAGAAGTGCATGTGGGGAAAATGTTGTTACAGATACTCTCATCCCAAACTTGGATAAAATTGTAGCTGGTGTAGTACTAAATTCTTATAAGATGTGTTATGTAATTTTTTAAAAATTTGTCAATTGCTTATAAGATAATAGGTATAAGTAAAAACATAGTTATGAATACATGGATACATATAAGAAAACTAAAAAAATAAAAGAAACAATAGGACAGGGACAGTAGGCACGTTGGTGCACTTATGCACGCCCCCTATAGACCTCCTAGGAAAGGGGTGAGGTCAATAGTAGACAGTCTAAGGTTAAAGTTTTTTGGGTTTGGGGAAGAAACCACAGAGTCAGGTAGAGTATTCCAGACATTGACAACATAATTCCACGGTGCTTTCCACTGAAACTTTGCAATTTTTATAATTTTTTAAAGGACATCCTCATTATGCATATTAATCATTTCAGCTATCTCAGGATATAAACCACTTATTTTTACAGGTAAATGGAGCAAAGATCGTAAAAAGCAGTTCAACTGGAGCATGTTTATGTATCCATCCGAGGCTAGGTTTGCATAATGTATTATTAGCCTATTCCAATATGTGCAACTAGCAATAATAATAGCACTTAGACTTATATACTGCTTCAAAGTGCTTTACAGCCCTCTCTAAGGGGATTAGAGTCAGCATACTGCCCCCAACAACCTGGGTTATTTTACCCATCTTGGAAAGATGGAATGCTGAGTCAACCTTGAGCCGGTGAGAATCAAACTTGCCGAACTACAGGCAACCCGCAGTCAGCAGAAGTAGCCTGCAGTACTGCATTGTAACCACTGCGCCACCACAGATTCACCAGTATCTCACATCAGCATCCAGAAATTTGAGTTAATAACTACAATATTAATATGGACATCATGCAAATATTGACTGTAAAAGCGCCTTTAACCACAGGTAGAAATATAAATGAATTAACTTCCATTTTTGAAATGAATGGGATTATATTTGGCTAAATTACATGTGTGGCATTTTTAAATTTGTTGCAGAGTATTTGGCAAAATATGTAAGTACGCTCAAGTTCATGTTCATGCTTGTATTTCAGAAAAACTGCAGGGACAGTACCTTAAAAATGCAGTATATAGAGGTGACCCTTCAGCTTCTTTTCTTGGCAACCATACAGCAAATTGAACGTCATGTACTAGTTTTAAGAAAAAGGCCACATTAATATAACGTCTTTTAAGTCCAAAAATGTCCAGTTTCCTACATTATTTTTCCATTAATTCTGAAATAATAGAAATGTGTTATTTTATTATTGTATCATTACTGGCCCTTCATACAAAAATGTCTAAAATCTATGATTTTTATTAACAGATTAACAGTTAGAAGGGACCTTGAAGGTCATCTAGTCCAGGGGTGTCAAGCTCAAGGCTGTGGGGTGCTTAGATCTGGCCCGCAGGACCGCCCTGGAAATAGCAAAGGACTGGCCCGTGGTGTCTTTGTCAGCGAAAATGGAGCTTGGCTTTGTGTGTGGTCCTCACGAGCTCCATTTTCTCTGGCAGAGGGTTTTGCAGGATGTTGTCCCAGCCGAAAACGGAGATCGGGAACCCATTTTCGCTGGCAGAGTGCTCAGGCCACCATAGGCGCTGACATGAGTGACATCAAGCTGGCCACACCCACCCTAGCCCCCCAACCCTGATGTGGCCCTCAATTAAATCAAGTTTGACACCCCTGGTCTAGTCCAACTCCCTGTACAAGTAGGAGTACCTATACCATTCCAGACAATCCAGTCTTTTCCTAAAAGCCTCCAGTGATGGAGCACTCGTTTCTGAAGGCAAGCTGGTTAATTGATCTGTGAGGAAATTTCTCCCTTGCTTTTCTCCTTGCTTTTCACCCATTCATGTTGTTGCACATTATTCATGTTGTGCATTACATGAAGTACCAACCAATGTAACTTTAGATGGTGTTGCATGGGATCAAAAGAGTGCACATTGTTTTTTACTTATGTCCAACTTTTACTGTTTTGTCTTTTCAACAGCTATTTCAGGATGCTGACTTTTCATTCTCTGTGCAGCCATTTTGTGATGCTCACTGATGTCAGAGTTCTTAATTAAATTTCAAAACACCCATGAACCTCAAAACATTAAGAGACCCTGTCACTGGGGTAGGCCAGTCAATGAGCTGAAGAAAGATTATTTTTCATTGGGTTAATCCAAGGTTCACACCTGATTAAAAATCAGTTTCTGAGGGCTGCAACAAATGGATTTTTGTTATAAAGTTGGTTGAGGAAGAAGCGCTGACGACATTTTCACTCACATTTGCCGTTTATGGAACTTGTCCTCTTCAGTTTTCTGAAAAAGTAGGGATGTTGCATTTTTCAGTAGATTGCATCTTTTACAGGTTTAGCACTTACTTTGCGTCTCATTTTCCATCCTTGTCCTGTAAAATAGTCTTCAGTACAAAACCCCCACTATAGGTAGTTCTTCCCTTAGAACAGTTTGTATAGTAACTGTTTGAAGTTACAACGGCACTATAAAAAATAACGAGTTTTTCACACTTACGACCATTGTAGCCACTTCAGTCACATGATCAAAATTCAGACACTTGCAAGAGTGTCATATTTACAGTGATTGCAGTGTCCTGGAATCACGTTTTGCAAACTTCTGACAAGCTAAGTCAATGGGGAAATCAGATTTGCTCAACAACCATGTTATGAACTCTACAACTACAGTGATTCACTTACAGCTATGACAAGGTCATTAAAATGGGGCAAAACTCATTTAACTCTTTCTTGGCAACAGCAATTGGTAATTTTGCTAATTTCTGAGCAATTTGGGGCTCAATTGTGCTAATCCAAAAAAAGCTAAGGAAGGTTGAGTTAGATGGGACCCACCAGGAAATAGGTACATTTGTGCTCACACACGTGTATATATGTAAAAGTTCCTCAGCATTTGGCCATATATAAACATCTCCCTGAAGAAGGCATCAACTTCCTTCTTCAAAATCATGAGTTCAATTATTGCCAACAGAACTACATGTCTATATTAATGAAGCAGACTTTCCTAGGACACAGCTCTATTATATTCTTGTTCTGGCATAACTGGCATTTGAAAGTGACTGAGATTCATACTTTCATGTTAATATATAGTATTTGTGGGTAGTCTGGCTAGATACAAATAAGAACCTTAGTACCAGTGTTCCCAGCTGACCAAACCTAACTGGCCCATTCTTTAAACAGAGCTGAACCAAAGACATCATAATTAACAATACAGAGATAACTAATCACTTACACCATTTAATTCCTCCAGATCACTGCTCTTAGAACAAGATTCAAATAACAATACTAATGATTCAAAGGGAATGTATTGCTATTGCTAAGTTTCATTTTGTTACACTGATATGAACATGCTTTTAGATATATTCCTTTTGTAGAAAGAAGTTATCTCTAAATGAAGGAAAAATTAAAAATCACATGCAAAATAGAAGTATAAAATTTATTTGAAACCATCCACAATGTTCTGCATTATCAGGAATGATACAGTTTGTAATTTTGTTTTTGGAAAAAGCCATGACAAAAATTAAAATACATTTTGCAATGATATCAACTTTATCTTGCCTTTTAGGTCATTTTAAAAGAAACATTTAAGGTTTAAACAGATAGGACATACACAAGAATAAAAAACAGAACAAACCATCTCTACAATAACAATTCTTACATGTATGTTTCAATACAATTTCAATGCATCTTGCTACATAAACAAGAAATCATATACAACTGCTGTGCACCAAAGAGTAGCTTAGTATGATCTTTCAAGTAACATGCAGTCAAAACTCACACTTTTCAAGTACTGCTGGTAAATGTTCCCTTGTCTGAAAATGTATTTCTCTCCCAGAGTAATGAAATAAGTTTCTTTTTCCGGTAAGTTTTGTGAAATAATGAAGTGCTTTTCTTCCATTTATTAACTAAATACAATGGTAAATGGTAAAAATGTGTCTGCCTTTTCATTTTTCCACCATTAGATCTTCTTAATATAGAAGATTGTTTAAAGGAAAAAAAAATCATTGAAGTCTAAGTTACTGTAAATGATAAAAAATAAATATGCACCCCAGTTTTCTTAAACACACGTACCACACACACATACACACAAATACAAGAGATATTACTCAACAGCAGAGCTCAGTTTTTTTTCTTATTTAGCAAAGTACTCTCCAGTTTAATGTTTTAACCGTTATTTGAACTGAAGTTACTGCTCGTGCCATTAATATCAGTTTACATTTAGAGACAGTCTAGCGAAGATTAGTCACAGCTAAATTCAGTTGAAATCAAAGGGACACACACCTCGATCCTATGCACTTTTATTAAGAAAGCATTTCTTCAACACAACTAGAAAGCAAGTCAAACTAAATCCTTCATCAAACACTTTTCAGATTCCGCCCTTAAAGATCTTAGTGTGGAATACCCCTTAACTAGATATACTGTATGTAAGCCCAACTTCATTTACAGATGCAAAATGGAATCCTATGGACAATTACTCCAGTGTGAGTCCCACTGAACTTGAGGGGATTTTCCTATGTGTAAACATGCCTTTTTGACATGAAGGACCGTAGAAGAAAATGTTTCCACAGACTGGGGGGCGGAGGGGAATGGTTGCTTGCTCATCGTTCACCTCCAGCTGTGCGGCCCAGTTCCTAACAGGCCAGGGACCAGTCCATGGTCTGGGGGTTGGGGAATCTTAATGTAGCAGATCCAATCGCATAGCTGCATTCTTAAGCATACTCCCTTGAGAATTACTAAGCCCCACTGCACATTTTGCTTAAAAATGCTTTTATTTGGCTGTTGGTCACTATTCGTGTTTCCAGACTGCACATTTAGCTCAGATTATTTGAAATACAATCCAGTGGACCTCTTTTTATGCTCAAGAGTTTCTGAAACTTGAACAGCTTTGCTCCCCTTACCTCTCTAAATCAGTGTTTCTCAACCGTAGCAGTTTTACATCTCAGAAGCCCCCAAGGTTGAGAAACCCTGCTCTAGATTATAAACCCTACTTCTGAAATACACCACCATTTGATTAAAAAAAAGCATTCCAATATCTTGAAATATATGATTAAAAAAATCCAATAAAATATTTCCTTGTAATGATAATGCATATATTACAAAGCATGACCAACACATCCTGTTTTAGAGTCTTAGGCAACAAATACATTCAGCGTTAGAGGACATAAAATACAAAGCTTCAAATCTGCCATCTTTTGCTAAAATGATTAAATGACATTCATACTTTATTCTAGTTTTGCATTTTGCCATATAAAGCTTTTATGACATATGGGAATTATAGCAGGAACCTAATTATAGGCACTACCTCACGATAAAGCATGTACTTTTTATAACTACATACCACTCTAATATTGTATTCCTTTTTCAAATGAACTTCGACCACTGAAAGATTTCAGTCGTCTCAGAAACCGTTCAACTAAATGAGCTTGTACTTGCAAATCTAGGCCACTTCTGTACAAGTTTTAATTCTACTTTCAGCAAGAATATATTTACTAGGATGAAACTCCTGTTTACAAGACCAGGATTCTGCTTTATTTAGAATACTTAGAACATTACATATGATGGTTACATGCAGAAGCAGTTATGTGAAAGGCAAAGTGAGAGTTGGGCCCATTATTAATTGTATAACATAGAAATTCCCCAGAATTGAGCAATGGAGTAATACATAAAGCAGCTTCATGCGAGAGGCTTATACCTGAATATACAAAAATTTTGGAGCAATCCTTTATCAGCAATATTTTGCTTTTTAAGACAGATCACAGTCATTTCATGATTTGCTGTCTGGAGGGACAGAAGAAACATATATACCTATACATGTATGTATAGATATATATTGTTATTAATCTCGTATGAAATCAGTGGGTGAACAGCATGAAAGTTACTTTTCTTTTTTACCTTTACCACAATAGGGCATGAATAAAATAAATCAGGAGTGTCAAACTGACGGCCCATGGGCTGGATGCGTCATGCATAGGCCACGCCCACCCCAGGTCCGTGAAGGGGAAAAATGTGATACGTCATGTGACAGTAATGTGACGCTGCGAGTTTGACACCTGTGATATAAATCCTATTTCTTTTTAAAAAGGGGGGGGGGATATAATCAAGAAGACATTATTGGCAGCATATCCATTTCATCAAAAATCCACATTCTACTGGTATGGTTTTATTAACAATCTTGCATACAAATCAATTATCACATTCGTTCTGTCGGCAAAGCAGTCTATATGTCTGCAGCAATAAACCTATGTTTTGAGTTGATTTTAATCTCTTTAATTTTCACAAAGAGAGAGAAATCTATCTGATAAGGGATGGGAACAAAAACTATTAAGGAAAGTAATCCCTTATGGATTGCACATCTGACTTCTTATATTATTTCAGCATTGCAATCGTACTAGAAACCTTCAAACTGGATATTAAGATGGAAATGTTATAGGTTATAGTGACCTGGAAATTTGATAAAGATAACCGATGCTTATAAATGAAAATTCTACATTCTTAGGCTTACATGAATTGTAGTAAATTACTGTGTATGAAAATTGTTTTTGTGTTACAGTAACATGGGATTATGATCATACTGCCCTAAATTGATCTGCAGCTATACAGTTGATGATTTACAAATATGTCAGTAGCACAATGGAGGTCTATCTATGCACAATAGGTTTACAATTTCAATTATCTCTAGCTGTACAGGTAATTTGGAAGAAACCCCTATGAAGTTATGTCCAACAAAAGAATAAAAATCTTATTTGTTTTGGCATGGAGAGTACTTTTGTTAGTTAATAATTTACGTTCATTCAATTTATGGGATGTGGGGGGGGGAAATCTTCTTTGCTGTTTAAAATGTTCATCAACTGCCAACTTCATGAAGGGAAACCTACACACACACACACAAATTTAGTTTCTTGTCATTCTGGATTTTACTGAGAAATATTTCTGGATAAAGGAATATAGCTGCCCCAGTGGTACTGAGAAAAAGCAGATATATTAACTTTTTAACTCCCCATCTTTCTTCCTGTAATATGGAATGGCCTTTCTGTTAGCTTTTCCATTTCAAATTTCCACCCTGGTTTGATCCACTCTTATCCTTTCAGTGCATACCCCTATGCAGTTGAAAGCAATGGAGCTTGGCTATTCTACTATGCTCTTATTTGCAGACTACCATAACAAGTATATGAAATTTTATCTTCCCTGGTACACATTCACCCAGTTTTAATATTAATAGATTCTTCTTCAACTTTGGATGTAAAACATTAGTAAGACAAGTATTTTGCTGTTCATACAGTTAAGGCATATAAGAAAAATGACAGAATCCAGGTGCATAGCCTTTAATTTGAAGAAAGAGGGTGAAAGAATACTTTCCAAGCACCAAATTTCAAAACAAGCAAGGATTTTGTACACTCAAAAGAGTCAACATTTCATCCGTCTTAACCACTTAATCTGTTCAAATATCAGCAAAGCTTTGGGTCAGTGAGTGAAGAGAACAATTTGTTCCCCTTCACTCTGACCTTTCCTAAGCCTCAAATCTGCTCAGGGGGGTTAGAGGACAACCTAAAATAAATTCAGGGAAATAGTGAAGTGCAAAGTCCCATTCTGAGAGTAAATGTACACATGACAGTGGATTAGTGACTACAGTTGTGAATGTGGATTCAATTAATGTCACTGTGCTATTTAATCAGGGCCATAAGAAACACATTGCATAACTGAATGACAAGGCTCAAAGGAAATGATTACATCTGAATGCAGTTAATAATATAATGGTGAACATATAACTTGAACAATGTATTGATGGGGTAGAAGCAGCTTTTCTATCCTCCTTTGTCTTAATGATGAAAACTGAAATCTAACATTTGAAGGGCCAAAAACCGGTACTATATCGCTAACAAAGAGAGAAAACCTGGGGTCTTCAAACAATGGAAGCTGCTCAAAACAAATAACGTATTACTGTAGACCTGGATCCAGAGCTGGATCCAAATTATATTTTCCTCTCAATGCAGTCAATGCCAGGATTAACTGAAACTCCATTGATCCTCTTAGTTTTTAACTAGTGTATTCACTTTGATTAGACTGAAATCATGAAGATCAAAATAAATTTGAAAAGGTGGTAATACGCAGTAATTGTAGAGACTGCTGAAACTCTTATCCGTGGCTGAATTTAGATAATAATCTGTAAATTTGTAATGCTTTAAGTTTGTTTTTTTTAGAAATAATGTGCCAAAACAAAGTTAAAGAACAGGCGTTTAATACATAGGAGATATAACAGCATGCCTATATCTGATGATTTCTGGAAACACTACCCAGAAAACATTCTGCCTGTTGCAAGGATACTTCTAAGCAGAATGGAAAAGATGCAGTAGGGCAGGTGGAAATAGCTAAAAAAACAGTAACAAAACACTATTTCTATGGAGAGACTTAACAATATCAGCTGTCACATTCATCTGAGTGTACCAAACCAAGGTTAAAAATACCCTAGTGCCAGTCTGTAAAGGATACAACAGACACTATGCCTATGTTCATCCCAATATTTGAAACAACCAAGTCATCTAACACAAAGTTCTATCTGACTGCAAAGAATATTTAAGCTCCTAAGGAAAATTCTACCTTCTATGGTTTCCTATTTAGTAGATCTTGATACATGTAACTGATGCTTCTATGTATAATATTACATTGAGTCAACAAGTTCTACACGGAAATGTGGCTAGTGAGTTTAAGATTGCAGTTAATGGCTTAACTAGGGAAGCTTTTCAAATTGCTTTAACCATCTATATAGTATATAGGAAATTTAAAAGGGAAATGCTTTCTTTAAAGCATTCCTATTGTCATCATGCTTACCCAAGGATCTCAAGCTATTTTTCCTTACCTCTTCATTAAAGCAACTTGGAGCACATATGCAACATCTTAGTACCAAGAATTTCATTCTCTTCAAAGGGAGTTTTTTTTTATGTGGGAGATATTTTTCTGTTAGTCACAATCACTACATTTTTCAAGGGTTTCCATTTGTTAATTTGTATTATTTAATGCAGATTCTGAGTACATGGCACTGCAAAGTTTGAAAATACCTGCTTTAGAGATGTTGCTGTAACTCCTGGGTTTTTTAAATCTTTTTTTTAATAGAGCATTTTTAATGACATGCTAGTATGTTCTGACAATTAACTGCTTTGATATTTCTCATTTAAAGGGGCCACACACTGAATGTTTGCAATGTTTTTTGTCAAATTCAAGTAACACTCCTGCATTCAACACAGGACCAAAATCATTAGATGCCTCAAGTATATTCTTTACAGACAATTTCATCAATAGAGTGTTGTTTCAATAAAATCTTGAAAACTATGCATTTTATTTCCTGGCAACTCCAGACAGCCAGATTGAACCTTAGACCATACAGATCTTCAGGCTACTGTAACTGCCCAAGGAATTGCTCTTACGACATAGGTAAAGTTATCATAAATCTTTGCTGCTACAAGCTAATTCACAAAGCACATCAGCGTCTATGATAAATATTTGAAATGCTACAATAAATAACTTACAGCTGTATTTACAGTATATTCTCACTCTGCATGCATGCTTGATGGATGTTGGCTTGTAAAACAGCAATTAAGTGAGATAGTACAATGAGAAACATTACCTTTTAGATGCAGCTATCATTTTGTAAGCTGTATTGTTTTTACAAATTTATGATAATTAAAATATATGGCTGAACCCAGACAAAACTTTAACAATATTTCTTAATTTCAGCAGTATGTTTTCAATGTTTGGGTAATCTGATGTATCTAATGAAACATTTATTAGCTGTTAAAAACAATCATACATTTCCATTTTAATGCATTCTATGCAAATATGCCCTATGGAACCTCATCAGTGGACTTCCAAGTAATAGATTATATTCCTTACTGTCAGGTGGACATATGTGATTTCCCTATTGAGCACTGTTGTTTAAGAGCTGGTATCTGCTAGCAAATATAGCAGTAAATTTTCTATAGGTATACAGGGGAAAACACTAAACTACTCCAGTAATTAGAGATCTTCTATTAGGGAAAATGCCAAATCTTCATAATTTGAGTCAACTTTATTTTTCTACTATTGCCACCACCTGAATTTTCTGCTGTGGTATCTATATAAAAGGAATCAAAAGGAATTTAATCCTAAACAGTTTATTAGTAGTGTATGCCCTATAAATGTCAAGTGGTAACAATACCATCCTACATACATTCATTCAGAAATCAACCCATTATGTTCAATGGGACTTATTATAAGCATAAGCAGATTGTCAAACTAGGATGAAGTGTAGATGTTTTCCACATACAGTGAAGGATTATCCCAGGACTCCCCCCCCCCCCCCCAATTCAGAATTACAAGAATGAATGATTAAATTAGAAAAAACTGTACAGATGAGCTGCTGGATGATTTCACCCTACTTATTGTAATGACAGCTATGTTTAATAAATTTTAGGTTCACAAAAAATATACAGTTCTTAAAATGCAAATCTAAGGCACACAAAATTACCATACCAATTAATGTATATCCAAGAAGCAGAAAACTGCTGGTAGAAAATGATAGATTTACTTTTATTATTTACAATTGTTACATATTCTCTATCTGAACTAATCATAATCTTTTAACTAAGAAAAATGCAGCATATGGGTTTGGTTTTTTTTTTTTTACAAAGTTTGTTTTAAAAATAGAAAGATTGGGTTTTTCTCTTTACATACTATTCTCAAATGTTATGACTCAGGTTGCTCAGTAAGCTGTTGCATAAAGATTGCTAATGGTATCGTGACTAAATATGAAGATCTGATCTAAAGTTAAGTTTGAAAGCCATGTTTGACAATATTTGTAGGGTACCTCTTTGTAAAATTATAGATCATCAACCTTTCTCAGCCCTCACCACAATCAATGAAATTGGCTGGATTGCACACTCCTGGTTTTAGTAAAATATCTCTAAATTTTAATACTCAGTAACTTAGGAAAATTTCTCTAATATCTACAGCTTCTGCAAGCTGAATTTTGTCTCTGTGTGTCTGTGTGTATTCAGCTGTCAAAAGTGGAAATGTGACTTGCAAACAAAAAGGTATCTAGCAACCAGCCTTGTCTGACATACATACGTATCATTTAACATGATCAGCATCACCAATAATGGCCTCAATCACCTATTAGAGACGGAGAAGGGAAAGACATCAAGCAGCATTCGAACAGGCTGTTTTTGTCTTCACTGTGCCTAAAATGTATTTGTACTACTAGATGAAAATATGGGTAATTGCCCATTTGGATGGATGAAATGCAGGTGGTCTACCATGGGAGTGCTGTGGATGATGGTTGCCTTGAAGCTTAGACCAGTGTGAATGTCTAATATTACGCAAATGGACTATGTGAATAACTGGAATAAATTCCACATTCTGAACTTCAGAATCATAGGTGACAAAGAACCAGTTTTCCCCAAGCTAGTGTCTTTAATATGTTTTTACTTCCACTCCAATAAACCACCATTCAACAAATTATTTGGAGAAAGCTGGGACAAGCTATATAAATCAATTATTTCTTCGTTTCTGAATTATATTTTCAAATTAAATACAGAAGGGTAGACATTTAATAGTAAAAGCACCATGTCTAGATTTTGTTAAAAAAGCAGATCTAGAAATTTATTTGTTATAGCACCACTATAAGATATTATCAAGTATGTTATCACAAATCTTTTATTTCTGGTTATCCTGGTGGCACATCATGGAGACGGAGAAGAAAAGAGAGAGATGTAAAATCAAGAGTTAGCCTCATGACTGCCCTGATTAAATTGGATTATTAGTAAATAGCTTCATTTTTGTATATAAACTACAGGGTATGTTTACTCCCAAAAGCTCACAATATAATAGCAACTGGCTAGTTCAAATTACACCATAAAAAAAGAAAAGCCTGAGATAGTCCCATAATTTTTAAAATTAAGATGATGCCATTGGGACAAATGGATGCAAGGTGATTTAATTAATTTATTATTTGGAATCAAATGTTCCCATACACACACAGCTCTACTCAAATTGGGACTGGTCAAACTCACTGGTTTAGCTTCAATAACATTATGTAATTTAGACCAGCTTTGCTGGCTGAGGAACTCTGGGAGTTGACGTCCATAAATCTTAAAGTTGCCACGGTTGGAGACCCCTGATTTAGACCATGGAAATCATTAAGACTGATAAAATCCCTGGCATCCAGTTGTCTAAATTATGATCTTGTTACTTAAATTTCTTCTTCCCTTTTCTTTATTCCAAATATACCAAATTCTCCTGGTTCTAGCTGCCCGAAGTCCTGAGCTATATTTTAATAGTCCTGCTTCTCATCAGAACTGACAAAAGCAGTTTTTATCACACAGATGCTGCCGTGTCCATTTGAGTTTTTCAGTATTTAATATTAAAGCTCTGTGAGTATTGGCTCATTTAATGCTACTTCTGTTAAACAAAAGATGTGGCCACTCCAAATAACAGATGCTAAGAAACGAGAAGTGGCAGCAAGATGTTAGGAAACCCCAGCCGTAGGTAACCTACATAGAGCCTATGTTATATTGGTTAAGCTAGTTGGCAGCTTTCAGGTCTGCTGGAAGACATCATTCTGCCTCTAGTATTGAACTGGGAACTTCAATCTAGTTAAGTTCCATCTACAAAATGGAACTTTGCCTTGCACAATTCAATCTCTTCAGCCAAATCCTTATTTAGACTGATTATATCTTTGCAGTTGCTTTCCCTGGTTGTTGACTGAAACAAAAACTTGAGTTGATCAATCCAGCCATTGCACTTTCAACTAACAAACTCTGGGCACATGAAAGTGTAAGCTGGAACAATGAACAGTGTTCCCAGGTCGGAAACATTTGCAAACTCTGACCCTGTAGTGCTGCATGGGTTAGTTACCATTCAGAAAAGAGTATGATGCAAAGTGGAAATGGCATGTTGTTACAACAAGAGGTCAGATACTGTACTCTGGATGGGTCTCCAACATAGACCGCTGCCCCATTACAGACCTTATTTCCTGGCTGGAGAGACCAAGTGAGATGTGGAACTATGCACATTGTAGAATTAATCACTTTGATATCTCAGTGTGTCTTTCAGAGGTGAAGGAGAGGAAAAAAACTGCATACAATAATCAGATGTTCGCTGGCAGAAAGCCCACTGAACACAATGGGATTGGGCTTCAAGTAAACCTGCCTAGATCAGGCTGATGGCCAGTTCACCACTGAAGAACATTTTGGATGCATAATAAATTCAGATGTATTCCTACACTGCTGATAGGGCAGATCTCTTAAAATCCAACATGTTAACAAGGCATTGCAATTTACGCATTGAGGCCCCAGAAAAAAAAAATCCTAATAGGGTGACTTCAAGATGTATGGAACTACACCCCGGATGATGCTCGATTGTATTGTCCCATAAAACTTGGAATGCCCCCTATGAGATAACATTTGCCCTTATTGCTCAAATTATAAATTCTTTAAAAAAGACCCTAGAAATACAAGTATAGATAAGTGACTTAATTTATATTTGCAAATAATGAATTTCTGGACTTTATCACCTTTTTTATTTAGTAACAAAAGCAATGGAAAAAAGAAAAAGGAAGAACCTAAAACCCAAGTATTTTCAACATCTATGAATTGATGTAGCAATATGGAACTTTATATAGTACGAAAAAATAAATTCCTTGGTAGAGAATGCACAAACCTTAGACAAATGTGATCCTTATACTATTTCAAGTTAACTTTAAAAATAGAAAGTGCTTTTAAATATATATATTTATATGTATTTACATTAATAACCTCCAATCATTACTAGTGATATTTATTTGCATGTGAATGCATGTGGATCATACACACATGCACACACAAACTATACATACATGAGAAAAATCTATATACAAATAAATCATCATTGGTTCTTTCTCCGTAAGCTGGGATTCACAGCAAGTGATTGGAAGCTGTAAGAGCAATGGCACCATGAAGAAATAAAATCAGCTTATTTTTAACTGTTCAATATGATTAAGCACCAAGATCTGTGTATAGCTAATACTGTCTAACTTGATTTTACATAATAAAAGATGAAATCAGTTAAAATCTTTATGAAAAGCCCATTTATAATAAATAGACGATTCAAAGCACCAAAGTATAAATTCCAAAAAGGTAATAAACCAAGTAATTCAATCAGTTAATAACCTAGCCAATTTTTCTTAAATGTTGTGTGCACACGTGCGCATGCATGTGAATGCACATTTATATACACACACTTGAGAATCACCAGATGTTAAAATATATAAAGTCACAGTTTAAAAACAAAATAATTTTTACCTCAGCCTTCAAAATGGTTGAGATGAACAAAGAGTAAACCATATGAGACTTTGTTCTTTAACAGCACCTTTTAGGATTGTGTAACACTGCTCCAAGGCAATAGTTGTGTTGTTGCTATAAGAGCTTATGCCCAATGGTTGTAGGGCCCTGCAACTCGCGTGAGGGCATAAGTAGACACCGTTAGAATATTATCATGAGTTACTGTTAATGCTCTGCGAGATGGAATTTGGTTGAATTCATTTTCTTTGTAGAAAATCTCTTGGGTTGCATTGGTCTGATTTGCATTCTTGTCAGTGGCTGGCAGACCGGTGGTTTCAGTTCCTGATTTTCTAGCTTCTTTCTCTTTTGCTCTCTCTGCCATTTTGGCCTCCCACAGGGCTATCCCATGTTTTGGCTCATTTAAGTTTTTGTGTTGGTAAAAGACTAAAGAGATCCGCGTGGGATGATTCCTGTTGGGCTTTTTAAGAGGTGTGGTGGCATGCAGTTCGCGCCGTGCACATTCAATCAAGATGGAACCATGGGATGGCGCTACAGCTACCCCACCAATGTCATTATCCAAAAAGTTATGCTCGCTATCAGACCACATTTCTTCTGCTTTTTCTTCAGAATCTGCGTGTTTTAAGAGCTGGCCATTGGAGCCGTTTTCTACACAACCTGGGCTTTGCTGTAATCCACTCTTTTGCATTGGGTGCTCTTGGGAAGAACCATTACTAGAGATATCTTCTTCAATGTTGTCCAGTTGCAACACTGACTCACAAGAGCTAGCTACCTGGGAGGCAGAAGAGGACTTTAAGTTAACTTCACAATTTTGCTTGTTAGCTAGTTTGTGTTCAGTGGTCAAGGGCAGATTATCTCTGTTGACTGTGGGCCTGGACGTAGTCAGGTCTTGAAGAAGCAGGGGCACACCATTTCTCTTCTCATCCATCACAATTCCAGTATAATCATGAGAGGACATGTCAACGTTATTACCACCTTTGGATGTCACATGAGGTTTATTACTACTGCATTGTAAATACCCGTAGGGAGTAGAAACATCTTCTTGGCTATTAGTTACTGGCATTAGACCACAACTTAATTGAGAGCTAGAGGATAAACTATCCAGTTTTAAAGGAGAGGATGGAGCACGTTGCTTCAACAGAGAGCAATCGGTAGTAATGCCTAAATTAGGTTTTATGCTAGAAAAGTATTCAGCTGTCTCCATTTTTGTCTCAGGTTGCACTATATTCATTTTGCCCCCTAAAGAGAGAAAAAAATAAGCTGGTTTCAAATATAAAGTTCTGTTTTCCCCCCCACAGATGTTTGATAAATACATACATGTTTCACCCATCCACTTTAATTCCTCCTCAATGCAGACATGTTGCAGTTTTGCGACACATTTGCCATGACATTTTCAAATATATTTTTACCCAAATTACAAATTCTTTTTGTGAAAATGAAGGTGCTCAAAACTTCAATAACAAGAGCTTGCACACTGTACAGGGGTTATCAGCTGTAGGGCTTTGGCATCACATATTTAAACCAAACATACTTTTATACTAGGTAAAATACAGATAATGCTCAACTAGGTACAGTTAATACTTGACTTATAACAGTTCAGTTGGTTACTGTTCCAAATTATAATAGCACTCTTACACTCTTTAATGACATGATTCACTTAACAACTGCTCCACAAATGTGGCAAAAAAGATCATAAAATGGGGCAAAACTGACTTAACAACTACCTTGTTAAGGAACAGAAATTTTGGGGTCAATTGTGGTCGTACATCCAGGACTACCTGTGTATATAGTACTGCTTTTGCTCTCTATATTTTACTTTGTTCCATCTTGATACTTTGCATTTTAGACACACAAATGTGAACTTCTATAACATGCCCATATCTATCACTATCAGATATTATTTGAAGCCTGTTGTACCTACCTGAACTTTGTGGTGCTCTCTTAGTATTTTCTGGCAGTCCATTTTTTCCCCTTACAGGCGCAGAATGCTTTTTTTCAGCTAAACTTTGCTTTTTTGCGTCTGGTTTTTTCTTGGTTGCCCTACGTGGCTCAGTTAACATCCTCACTTCTCGGGGGAAAGCAGTTAGCACCTGGATGGCCCCCGTTTTAATCTTGGCTTCCAGCCCCTCTTCTGTGCCAAATTCATCTGTTTGTGATATTTTGTAAAGAGGCAACACATGAAGCTGCTCATCATTTGGTATCACACCTACTGTACGGTTGTCTTCTTTTGTTAAAGTACAAACCTAGCCAGAAAGGGGAAAAAAAATATTTACATAGAAATACACAGGCACACTTAATCAACTTCAGTGAAAACTATAAGTGAATGTTTAGGATAAAAGGTTGCAAAGATAATCTAGTTCACCTTTCTTATCATGGTTTTATGTATCCAACACATTAAACACAACTAAACTAACACAGAGAAGGTCCTCGTCTTACAGTCATTCGTTTAGTGACCAAAGTTGCAGCAGCATTGAAAAAAGTGACTTGCGACCATTTTTCAAACTTACAACTGCTGCAGCATCCCCCCATTGGTCAAGTGATCAAAATTCGGACGCTTGGCAACTGGCGTGGATTTATGGATGATTGCAGTCTCCTGGGGTCACGTAAGATTGCACCTTTTGCAATCTTCTGAGAAGCAAAGTCAACGGGGAAGCCAAGTTCACTTAGCAACCACGTTACTAACTTAACAATTGCAGTGATTCACTTAACAAGCATGGCAAGAAAAGTCGTAAAATGGGGCAAAACAAAAATTGTTTTGCTTAGGAACAGAAATTTTGGGCTCAATTGTGGTTGTAAGCTGAGAACTATTTATATATAATTTGTTTCTTATACATGAACAATAGGTTATAGTTTATGTAGCATGACATTAATACAATCCAATATAGATCTCATGAAAAATGTATTTGCTAATTTTAGCAGAACATTTCTTCAACCTAAACTGAAGAAATGAGAAACAGAGTTCTGTTGTTTTAGAAAACAAGGGGGATTGGCTTGATCATAAGAAGGAATATGCCTCAACAGGATCACCAAAATCCAATCATCTTTACCTGGCACTCTTCAAATGCTGGACTACAATTCCCCAAATCCTGTGCTGGGTGCCAGTCCTGATACACTATCTAATACATTTGAAGAGCTGGGGAACTTTGCATTGTCTTGAACCAACCTATACTGTAAAAGAAAAATGCCTCACCTACAGAAGCTGAGATAATGATGGCCATTTAATGTAAGATTTCCTGCTGAATGGTGTGACTAAGACACACATTTGTGAGAAAAATGGTGAGAGTTAACTTGTCCAACATGCCTTGCCTTGACTGGGGCTCCCTTATGCCGCCGAACTCAAAAGCAAGTAATTGTGATGGCAATTCTGAAAAGGCAAAGGATTACAGTTTCCCTTCTTAAAACTAAAGAATAATGCATCAAGCTGGTTTGGTGGCCCAATGGAAACCAAATTGACCAAACCTGGAGTCTCTGTATGGAATATACATACAAGAATTTGGTGCATCACAAGGTCCTCCTGGGCTGACAAGCCCCGAGTTCTTCCCCAACAATAGCAATTAAGAAGGCATTGGTGCTGCCTAGAGTAGCATAATCCTTAAAGAGGAAGTGATTCTAAAGGGAAAATGCAAAGGGGGCTTAGGGGAGGGGTGGGCAAGTAGGCAAGACATCTGGGACTTGAACTCAGGCCAAAAACTGTCATTTACTATAATGGTAGACAAAAGGCTGGATGTGTCATTTCTTCCTCCCCAACACTCTTCCATTCTTCAAATCACAAGCCTGCAAGGACAACCGGATCAGCACTGCTAAATAGCTTATCTCACGAAGAGCAGCTCAGCCCAGGCTGCACAAAAGCTCAGGGAAGGACAAGAGATTCAAACATTTGAAGAGATTTCTTTTTAATGCACTCATTTATAAAAGAGGGCTAGAGGTTCCTACCACAGTCCTCAAGAAAGGCTGTTTTGACTCCGGCTTCTATGACTGTGGCCTGCATTTCAGGTTTTCACCATAATGTCAGGAGAGACCCCTAAGAAATAGATTGATCAGCAAATGTTAACTATCCAGTTGGAGAAGGTAGGCAACATTCCTGCAACTCAGGGCTGGGAGCTGAATTTCAAGGCTCACTGCTAAGACCTTGAGGAATTTCCTGGATACTTGACTTAGCACAGCTTGACTAAGCTCTATCCAACCTAAGGACCTAAGAACTCATACAGTGTTAGGTAAGAAGATTTATTGCCTGCTAGGAAGAAGCCATAAAATAGTTGGTTGCCTTCTGTCAACATGAAAGTGACAATCCTTTTTTACTCCCACTGAATTCTGATCCAGGTGCTGCTCACCCATTCCCCTTGTTTAAATGATATTTCTGCCATGCACTTTTTGGGCTTGAAGCTCAGGGGACTGAATCTCTGCCCTGATGAATTATTTTCCACAATTTATGGCATTGCAACTAAAGATTTAGAAGTGAATTTTGTACGAGACTGCAAAAATTAAAACTCAAGCAATGTTTAACCTCAGTAACCAAGAAAATTGTAATTTATCATACGCTCATTGCACTTTATATCATTTGTGGCATGGGTCACCAAACCATATTGGCTGAGGAATTCCACAAGTCTTAAAGATGTCGTTTGGAGACCCAAACTGAAAAAGAAAGGAAATCAAGTAAAAAGGGGTATGCAACTATGACACAGCTACATTGGGAAAAGGAAACAGCACCCCAAATTTTACTTACCACAGTACTTCCGTTGTGCATGTTGTGAGTATCCTTGTGTGCGTGGGCACAGAAATCAATGCAAGCTGTCACACCAGAGAAAGGCCGGCCTTTCTTGCTCCCAAGACGACAGTCAGGCCCCAGATGCTCATTCTCCACCTTAGAAAACAAGGCAATCAGGTCTTATTTCAAGAATAGAGTTTAGTTTGTTGTCAACATTTTATTTACAATCAAAAATTGGAGAAAACACAGACTTACAATTGTACCATGAATTGTTGCTTAGAAAACATGTTTTTTTTCCTGATGGTTGTTATTTTATTTATGCATTTTTAATTGCTACATATAGCAGGGACGGTACAATAGCCAAATCCAGGGAGCATCTGCTGCCCTCCAGCTTAAAAAGTGTGAAATGTGATTACGATCATATTTAATCTAGTTTTTAAAAAATCAGAAAGGATCCTCAACCTGTTCTCTTTCTCATATCTAATACCTGCTTCCACCAGGAAACAAGTGGGTTTACATACATGAAACCATGCAGATAATCCTCACTTAATGATATAATTAGGACCAGAGTCCTGGCACTCCCCATTGCGGTCACTGAACAAGGATTGTGGATGCTTAAGTAAGTCTCAGGTGGCTTGCAAGCAGCAGACAGGTAAGATGCAGTGCTGCATGGTGTGGCTAGGTGTGACTGCTGCCAAGGAGGGGCTGCTGTGAGTGATTTTCCTGCTGGCTCCCCCATTGACTCTGCTTGTGGGAAGCCAACAGTGAAGGCAGAAAAGGATGATTACATACTGTAACTGCAGGCTATTGCAACCACTGTAAGCATGAGCTGCTTGTGAGGTGGCCAGATCATGATCACATGACTGCAAGGTGCTGGAATGGCTTAAACTTCATAGATGGGGTATCTTTTGCAACACCATTATAATTTCAAACAAATGGTTGGTAAGTGAGGACTAGCTATAATTCAATTTGACTGTGTTTTGTTGCATATATCAAAACCGATGAATTTATACATAATACTACACTAAGCTTGAAGCTGAAGATGATACAACATTTGCAGAGGGCCACAAAAGGAGGGGGCATTACAAGCATGTGGGCAAGGCTGGCCTTGCAAGGGAGGTTTGGGGCTGCTTTTTGTGCTTTAACTATGATTACTTCGGACATTTCGTTTTGGGATTATCTGTTTTCCACCTCAATGGGTGCTGTTGGTTTTCAACAAACATGGAAAGATAGAAATATGAGAGGGCTTATAAAAGCAGCAAAAAGCAACCTGTCCATTCCTGCACAAAGCTGTAAATCATTGTTTATCAACCATAAAAGGAGAATTCACACATCGTACTAGCTTAAAATCCAAGAAACAATACTGCGATCTGTAGACTCTGCTAGTAAGTAAATGCCTCTTGGGGACATGTCACTGCTCTATCACATGAAAAGGATGTGATGAGACATCATGAAATATTCATCATCCTACCTGGTTGTAGAAAGCATCAGGGGCAAGTTTTTGATATAATGGAGCCACATCAGTAGCTAAAGTCTGCAAATTGTTTTCCAGATTTTCTTCCTGGAAATAGAGAAAGGAATTACCCCATAACTGTATTGTTTATGAATAAAGCAATGTTAATTGCAGCTTATATTTCAGTTTCCTACTGTAATAGTAAAACTATCCACGTATTTAAAAGTTGGTCAGACAAAGGGGGAAATATTTCTTTCCCCTTTGCAAGGACACCATTTCTTAGCCCAACAGCTATTAACAATGTTAGAAAGCTTATCAGACTGGCAATGAAATAGAGAGTTTTCTTCCTTCAATATACTGAATACAGGTAGTCCTTAGCTTATGACAAAAATTAGGACTGGATTTTCCATTGCTAAGTGATGTGGTCATAAAGCATGACCACAACTCTTAGCAACAGTTATCCCTGAAGTCCCAATTACCATTGTAAACTGAATCCCACAGGTGTTCAGTGAGACACCTTCCTGCTGGGATCGTACAAGCACAATTGGTGAAGAAGTTGGCAGGAAGTCGCAAATCCCAGGCCAGCAGGCATTTGAGTGACTTCTGCTGGGTGGGAGAAGAGAGTATGGATGGGGGAAGGCGGGTGCAGGGCAGGCCTGGTGACGTTTGGGGAGATGGTGTGATGGTAGGAGAGGGTGTGTGAAAGGCATGCAGATCAGGAAGTGTGCATGGAGGCATAGCATGGATCTGGGAATGTGCTTGAGGCTGTGGCATGGATCAGGAGAATGTGTAAGGGTGCGAAGGTATGTGTGTGACATGTGGTGTAGGAAGGTGCAGAGTGGGTTGGGGAGAATGTATGAGGTTGTGAGGGGGGTTGTGCTAGAGGTGCAATGTGGCTTGAGGAGGCTGTGCAAGCGTGAAGGACAGGTGGGGGAAGAAGTTCAAGGGGATACCCGAGAGTCACAGTGTGGCTCAGGGCAAGAACATGAAGGCCAGGGATGATGCACAAGGGTTAGGCCAGCATTAGGCAGCTTATGTATGCAGGAGTGTAACCCAATTCATGGAGAATGTGAGGGTGTGTGTGAAGATACAGTAAAGCTTGGGAAATGTGTGTAGATCAGTAGTGGGATTCAAATATTTTTACCACCAGTTCGGTGGATGTGGCTTGGTGGACGCGCTTTGCGTGCGTGCACGTGCCAAACGCACACTTTACGCAGGTGCAGAGACATTCTAACTCACCTCCTGCAAGCCTGCACAATCCCAGGCAGGGTGAAGGTTAAGGTGAGTGTGTGATGGCTTGGGTGTTGTGTGAGAGGAACAGGTGAGGGACGGTGCATGGGAGTGTAGCAAGGGTCAGGGAAGGTGTTCAGGGCTGTGCTGCGAATTAAGGGCGTGCAAGGGTGGCTGTTAGGCTTGGATAGGGTGCAGAAGGGTTAAAGGTCAGGGAGGATATGCAAGTGGCAGCACAGAACTACTGCTGGAGGCTGTGCAGGTGGGGGAGGTTTACCTCAGCGATGTGTGTGTGATAATGGGGTGCAGCACCAGGTCAGAAATGCTCTGAGGATCAGTCACAACCATCATTCATTCAGCACCATCATAACTTTGAATGGTCACTGAATGGACATAGATGAAGGACTACCTGTATCAAATTTTAAAATTTACTGCATAACTGACAATACAGCTATTAAACTTACTCTCTTTTGTTCATTTTCATATTGTGTTAAAAATAATTATAACTACTCTGTCCTAAGATGATTATTTTACTATCCTCAGAGAAGAGACATAAGATTGAAGATAAACAAGAGTTTCTTCAAAGATACCCTTTGAGTAAAAAACAAACAACGGGGACTCAGTAGAACATACATCAAGGTTTTTCAAGAAAGAATCAAAAAGGAAAGAGACACAAAACAAACAATAATTCAGGGGTGTCCAACCATGGCAACTTTAAGACTTGTGGACTTCAACTCCCAGCTGGGAAATTCTTACAATAAATGCTTTAAATGTATTACTAAGTTAGGATTCTGGTTAACAGCAGATCAACATGTAGGTGGCCCATTTTGTACTTGTTAAAGCCAATATATCAGTTTAGCAGATCAATATAGTAGCCTTAGAAAGTATGAGATTCAGACAATACACAAAGGTGCCCAGGTAGCTAACATGACTAATCTCATTAGCCTAAGTAGAAATGGACCTGGCTAATACTTAGATGAGAGAATATTAGGAAACCTTACCAGGGCTGTAAGATTGATTGGGAAATTCAAAACACACATTAAAAGAAGGATTATTCCTCTACTACTCCCAAAAGAACTCTTGAAATGCACCCATAAATTCAACTCTGGAAGTGAATGACTCAAAAAGACTTTTACATTATACATATTTAGGTTTGCAAAATATTCCATTGTTTAAAAACAGAGTAATGTCCATTAATACTGTAATAAATAGCATTCCTCCAAAACTCACTCATTCAGACACCAAAGGCTACCATATTTTTTTTAAATCATGAGGTAATTTTTTAAAAATGGCAGAACAATAACACAGATGGATTTACTCCTTAACCTATCCACAATGTTCAAAGGAGTCCTATTTCTCAAGCTGATATAACTTACTATCAGTGTTGGCTGTAACCCTTGAATTCATTTCATTAGATCAGGGGTTTCCTCAGCAAAACTGGCTGAGGAATTCTGGGAGTTGGAAGTCCACAGGTCTTAAAGTTGCCAAGGTTAGAGAACCCTGCATTAGATGGTTACACTTTCACTATAAAAAACAAACGAACAAAAACCTGAGCGCTCAGTTTGTCTCATCCAGATCCTGTGCTGTGAATAACCATAAATGTGGGTTGTTGAATCATACCACCCATAATCTGCAGTTTATAGACTGATTTGATTCATTCATTCCATAAAATATCTCACCATAATCCTACGAAATGCTTTGAACCTGGCATGCTACAAGCAAGTCACGGACAAAGTTAACTTACTTGTTGTGCTAGAAAAGCACAGCAAGTCATAATTAACCAGAACAGAAATGAAAGAGCAGCTTTAAATTCTTCTTTGAAGAGGGAAAAGGCAATGGGGCAACCACTTCTTGTGTCTCATTCTTGAGCACTATTGAGCAGATTAGAATAAGTAAATCACAATAGCACAAATCCATATAAGTGTGTTACCTGTCCAAAAATTCTTCTGGACTACTTTCTAGACAATAGATTTTTCTAGTTTTATCTCTATACTACAAGCTATTCTTACCTAAAGAGCATAATTTTATACTTCTTTACATTTAACCTCATCTCACTCCGTCCAGTGGTTCAAATGATCCATATCTGTCTTTACTTTCAATCTATCTTCTTCTGCATTTGCATTCTATACCTCCTAGCTTTATGTCATCTGTAAAATGATCAATATTTAATATTTAGCTAAAATAGAAGGTTCTAGTAAAAACAATGACAAGAAGCACTTTCATTTGTTTGCTCTATGAACTTTTTGAGCATCCAAAATCATTGTACAACCAAGTGTCTGCTTCAGGAGTGTGTAGTATGCTAGAAGTTAGCAAACCTGTGTACATGAGAATGGACACTTGTGAAACCTGGCCCTGTGGTGCGGCTGAAACAATCTGGAACTGAATATGCTTAAGGCTATAGAGATGAGAATGGATTTTAGGAGGAGCCCTTCTCTTCTACCACCTCTTACCATATTCAAGAGCACCTTATCAACAGTGGAGTCCTTCAAATTTTGGAGTTCTATAATCTCCTAGGACACGGGTGTCAAACTCGATTTCATAGAGGGCCACATCAGGGCTGTGTTTGACCTGGGTGGGGGGCAGGGGTGTATGTGGGCAGGGTGTGTGTGGCCAGCATGTCATCATTCATGTTGGGGGTGCCTGTGGTGTCCCGAGCGCTCTGCCAGCGAAAACAGGCTCCTGTGATGGCCTCCTGCAACCCTCTGCCAGCAAAAATGGAACGTGGGGGGGGGGGGGGGGGAGATGGAAATGTGCAAACCTTGTGAGCTCCATTTTTGCTGGCAGAAGCACCACAGGCTGGTCCTTCACTATTTCCAGGGCAGCCCCATGGGCCAGATCCAAGCACTCCGCAGGCCGGAGGAAGCCCCCAGGCCCCGAGTTTGACACCCCTGTCCTAGGACTTGAAACGAACCCTTAACATTAGAACCACCATTAAAAGGCACACCAAGGAATATTCTTCCTGCATCAACTCAAGGAAGTTCGGGAGATGTTGATACAGTTTTAAAGAGGAATTATTAAGTCTGTCATATGTTCTTCTATAACTGTCCAATGGATAGTTAAGATTGCAGAAAGAACAATTGCAACCAGCCTGCCTTCCACAACAGCCCTTTATATTGCGTGGGTCAGGAGGAGGGCTGAGAAGGTATCTGCAGACTCCTCACATCCTGGACATAAACCATGTCAACTTCTCTCCTCTGGCATTGCAAGCCAAAACAACTAGACCCAGGGACAGTTTTTTCCCTTGGGCCATCACTCTCACACTGCTGCCTAATGTCAGTATGTATTTACTCAAATAGTATGGCTGTAGCCTTATTATTATTATTATTATTATTATTATTTATACTTATTATCCTTCATACTTTCCCCTCTTATTGGTATTCTTACTGGTGTTTTTATTATTATGATTATCATTAATTTGTTGCTTTGCATGTACATTGAGAGCTTCTGCACTGGAGACAAATTCCTTGTGCGTCACACTTGGCCAAATAAAGTATTCAATTCAATGCATATAAATTGGTAAATTATGGTGGATGGCTAAGAGTTATCAGAGGAATGAAAGCATGGCATTCTGGAGGTGACAGGAAGTGAGATTTTATGTGCTCATCTTTGTGTAATACAAGTCAGTACAAGTGATTTACTGTATATGAATAGAACTTGCTCATAGTAATGCTTAGCTTGCTCATCTAAGCCATATAGAAAGGATGTAATCTAATATGATTCCACTAATTCTGAACAGCTTTAAACATTTATAATACCTGTTCGCTTAAACCGTAGCATTAAAAATTGTATTATGGAAGAAGGAAGGAAGAGTACTTACTTGGGCGTGATCATCTGTGAGAAGTCTAAATTTTCTGGGGATTTTGCTTCTGGCAAACTTACAGCCATTGTAATACATGCTCCAAGAACAGCCAAATGAAAAGGATGCCCCACATGTCTCTGGATCGAGACCTTGACAGGCACAAGTACGACTAGAAAAATTAACCGAAAAGGTAGGTAATCAGCTAGTTGGCCAAGATCCTCATCTTCAGCAAATTGATGCCCCAAAACTTCTGTCAACCTAACACATGTAGACCAGGGCTGTTAATCTCCCAGGCTGGATGCGTCACGCACTGGCTATGCCCAGGCCCAGTTTAGCGAAGGGAAGAAAAGTCTCGATACGTCACGTGACACTGCCGTGATGATGTGACCATTGGCTGCTTCTGATTATGACCAGTGTAAGAATCAATCAGATCTGATGAATCTCATACTGCAGGCTCAAAAGTGTTTATTTTTTCTTCTTCTTTCCACTGCAGGGTAGGCAGTCACTAAACATGTCAGGCTCCAGGGCTTTGCCAAATACCTTGTTGCTGTCACATCAGATTCCTCAGCAATACAATAATAGCTTCCCAATCAATCATGGGTGCAAGCAACAACTACTATCTATAATTTTTGTTGTGCAAGCAACAACAAAAATGTCTATAATCAACTTTACTACATTTTTCTGAAGCTTGAATGTAGCTACCATTGCACAAATTGATTTACAGCCACAACTGAGCCTCAAATTTCTGTTGCTAAGTGAGACAGTTGTTAAGGGAGTTTTGCCTTATTTTATGATATTTTTGCCATAGTTGTTAAGTGAATCAAAGCAGTCGTTAAGTTAGTAACACAGTTGTTAAGTGAATCTGGCTTCCCCATTGATTTTGCTTGTCAGGTTGCAAAAAAGATCACATGACTCTGGAACACTGCAACTGTCATCCATTTGAATCAGTTGCCAAGTGTTTGAATTTTGATCATGTGACCAGAGGGATTTGTAAGTGTGAAAAATGGTCATAAGTCACTTTTTTCAGTGCCAGTGTAACTTTGAAAGGTCACTAAACTAACTGTTGTAAGTCAAGGAGTACCTTCAGGCAGAGGCCTAGATACTGTCAACTGTCTTTATTAGAAATAAATAGTGCACTTCTTTGTGGCTGTGTATTTTTTTCATTTTAGACCATGTAAAAAAATGACTGCCCAATCACTGGAGTAGCTTCAAATTGCCTTCCATACTTAGTTGCTAGTATTATGGAAGACTCAAACATGTCAAGGACAAAGCAAGTCTGTTTCTGTTGTAGAAGACCCAATGACTGACCATTCCTGGAATTGTCAAATTGGGGCGTTTTAAGGGAACATCAAAAAAATTCCTGACTGGAATGAAAAATTTTGCATCAACCTTTCCAGGATTAAAGTCAGTGCATGAGTACATACTTTAATTTGCTTGCTCCAGTCAGTAGGAGTTACTAAGTAAATAACATACATTTATGTGAGTTATTCAGAATAACATCCACATCAGATAATTAGGTTTCTTCAAGCTTGTTTTCCGAATCAGATGTGAGTGCCAAGAACAAAGTACTGAAGTTTTGTTAGGATAGGCATAAGATACAAGCCTGATTTCAGGCATCCTATTAAACAAGCCTGAAAAGGACTTTGTAAGGTTTAACTGCAGTAGCTGTCAATAAAAGAGTTTCAACTATACTGAGTTTGTATTTTGTTATCTACAAAAAATATAGAAAAAAGTGTGCTTTATTCTATTAAGTCTAGAAGACACCAAAGTAAGAAAGCTGTGGGTAACAACAGAAGACATTTTAAAAAAATGGAAGAAAAATTCTATTTTCATATAAATTGTTTCTGCCAGAATAAAAAATGAAAAAAGTTGATTTTGGTCCTCTTTTAACACATCATACTCAGAATGCTATCTACACTCTACTAAAAAAAAAAAATATTGTTAAGTATCTTTCTCAAGTGTTAATGACCATAGTGCAGAAGACTGTCAGTCAAGTAAGATTACCTATCTCTCATACATCCTTTATATTTTAAAATCCTCTCATATTTTAAAAATATTTTAAAGCGTACTTACTCTTCATTTAATGCACATCTACGGCTAGTTGGACAGCCATATTTTCTGAGACTGTGGGTCAGTTCCTTGTACAACGTGTCAGCAAGAAGATGAGGAATCCCTTCCCAAGCCAAAATAAGTATCACAATCACAGCAGTCTGGCAGTGATGTCCTGCACGCTGACGAACTAAGCACAGCAATTTTTCTTCATCACTACTTCTCCGTATCACCTGAAAAGATAAAGGAATGGTTTGCAGGTTAATCATGAACATCCCTAAAATGGAAAGGTAGCTATTATCTCCCTACAGTTATTGGCTCTCTAGAAAGAGCTATGATACAAGGATGTGCAAGTTCAAAATAGAGGATGAGAGAATGAAGTGAGCACCAAGCCCCATAGTGCACATTAAAAGGTAGGACTTTGATCACCTTGTCACACTTGCCACTTTTATGTTTTTTGACACCCACCTCCTCCATCCCAAGGACAGTCCAGATAAATTAGTAGATTTATTTTGCAGATAATATTATTGCTGTAATTGTCTATCACAAGTTTTCCCCCTCTTATGGATTTCACCACCCTTCCACGGGTTAATTAATCAGAAGACAACATAGCTTGAAATCCCTTGATTTTTCTTATTTCTGAAATTCCAATTTATAAGAGCCTCAATGGCGCAGTGGTTAGAGTGCAATACTGCAGGTTATTTCTGCTGACTGTCGGCTGCCTGCAATTTGGCAGTTCAAATCCCACCAGGCTCAAGGTTGACTCAGCCTTCCATCCTTCCAGGTTGGTAAAATGAGGACCCAGATTGTTGGGGCAATAGGCTGACTCTGTAAACCGCATAGAGAGGGATGTAAAGGACTATGAAGTTGTATATAACTCTTAAGTGCTATTGCTATTTAGTTTTTCCTAAAATAAGGTCAAAACACACACACAAAATACAAAACTGCAATGTAACACACACACTTAGCAAACCTCTTTTTCTCTGTAGACAAAATTTTGGTTTAGTAAATGTATCCACTAATTTTTTTATCCTCAAGTATTTATTCAACCCCATTTGCATACTGCTGTATCTACTCGCTTATTAGAGAATAAATGTTAAAACTTAGAAAGAGACTTTTTTAAAAAAAAGATGTGAACCTGGAGAAAGGCCGCTTCAACTACATACATTTTTCATTTGTCTTTGAGAAAATCTTTCTACCATTCAACCATTTGCAAAATGCTATCCTTTAAACCTAGTCAGTAACAAAAGATTTGCAATTAAACCAGACAGGCCTAGGAGGATAAATCACATTTAAGACAAAGGTCACAGGGTATTCAGTACTGCTGGATCACAAAATGGCTGGAATCATCAGAAGTGCAACGAATCAAAATGAGATTTGCCTAAAGTGATGGCAATTTCTTCAGACAATTTTTCACACTGACAGTGTTTAGCAAGCATGTGCAGAATTGGGACAGCTTTTCTCATTTTGTATCTCTTTGGGAGGACGGTAATTCTCAATAAGAGGGCAGAGAGGCATCCCTGGATTCAATAGCTCTCCTTCCAATACAATTTCCTCCCTTTTAAAATGCCTTACATTTCCCTTAACATCTAAAAGGAACCAGGATTTTCCATTTTTTTTGCCATCCTTTTTGTAGAAAAGGCAGGTTGCAATCTTATTATTTCACCCACGCTTCATTTAAAAAACAGAAACAAATCTATCACTGAAGAGAAATATAAACAAAATTTAAAATTACATGATGCATACAAGTCCTGGACTTACATTGCAGCATCCCCACTGTCACGTGATGAAAATTCACACGCTTGGCAACTAATTCATATTTATGATGGCTACAGTATCCTGGGGTCATGTGATTGATCACCTTTTGCCACTTTCTGACAAGCAAAGTTAATGGGGAAGCCAAATTCACTTAACAACTGCATGACTAACTTCAACAACTACAGTGATTCAGTTAACAATCGTGGTAGGAAAGGTCATAAAATGGGGCAAAACTCACTTAAGCCTCGATGGCGCAGTGGTTAGAGTGCAGTACTGCAAGCTACTTCTGCTGACTGCCGGCTGACTGCAATTTGGCACATCGATCCTCATCAGGCTCAAGGTTGACTCAGCCTTCCATCCTTCCGAGGTGGGTAAAATGAGGACTCAGATTGTTAGGGGCAATAGGCTGACTCTGTAAACCACTTAGAGAGGGCTGTAAAGCACTGTAAAGTGGTATATAAGTCTAAGTGCTGTTGCTATTGCTATTAACAACTGTCTTAGACATAGAAATTTGAGACTCAACTCTGGTCTTTAAGCCGAGGACTACCTATATTTCCCCATATTATTATTTCAGAAGTGTCTAACTATATTTTCCATGCCTGTGCATTACTATCATTTTAAAATAAATGTCTAGAATAAATATTACAAGTATCCTCAACTTATGACCACAACTAAACTCAAATTTTATGTTAAGTGAGACATTTGTTAAGTTTGCCCTATTTTACGACCTTTCTCAACATAGTTGCTAAGTGAAATACTGCAGTGAATAAGTTAGCGACAGGCTGGTAAGTGAATCTGGTTTCCCCACTGACTTTGCTGGCCAGAAAGTCACAAAAGGTGATCACGTGACCCTTGGACACTGCGACCGTCATAAATATGAGTCAGATGCCTAGCATCTAAATTTGATCACATGATCACGGGGATGATGCAAAGGTTGTAACTCTTAAAAAACGGTCATAAGTCACTTTTTTCAGTGCCATTGTAACTTTGAACAGTCAGAACTACTTGTATTAATAAATGATAGAAAATGTTAAGCTATCATTTTTCTCAACATTGCGAATGAACTTTTTAATGAACCATCCGTTTTCCTAATATCCTAATATAGAAAGAAATTATGCAAATGGGGAATCAATTCTGAGCTGCTCTCTCATCTCTAACTTTGTATTTCTAACAATGCAATTCAGTTTTCCCAGTAATGTAGTACCTGTTAACTTTTGATGTGATTCAAAAGACTTATTCGTATCTACTTCAGGTAACAATTATACAGAGCAAAGAACTTTACAAAGAAGGCATATGAAATAATATATATCTCAGTCGGTCCCTATAGAGCACCAGTAATCACGCCTTAGATCTAAGAGTGCAGCACTCAACGGCACACTTCTATCCCAAAGCTGAATACAACATATTCTTTTTGGAACAAAAAGCAATCGCTGCCTTATCATCATTGTATTTGGCAAACTTCTCGTCTAAAATAATTGTGTAGGCAGGGCAGCATTAGGATGTTTATTCCTAACTCACTCTTTGGGGAGGAAGGCTAATTACTTAATATTATCATTTGAAAGTAGAAATACAGATTAGGTTATGGTAGACTGGGGGATTTTTTTTTTCTAACTGTAATTCTCATATACTCTTGCCACTGTAGCTGATGGAAATTAAAGTCCAAAATGACTAGAGGGGTTCAGATAGTCAAACTCTGGGTCAGGTTAATTAAGAAAAAAAACATTCTCACTCCAGCTTTTCTGTCATAGTACTCAAGAGGCCCCATGAAATTCACACAGTCTCCCCTTGGAATCAACAAGCAATCCTGTTCTGTTTTTCTTCACTTTCCCTAGACATTTTACTCCCGGTATTGCACAAGGAGCTAGAAGGCATGAATGCAATACATTTAATGCCTAACCATAAGCTTAGATAACCATGATGTTTGAATACATACTATCAGTACACACTCAATTACTGTCCTTGTTATAAAAATGTTTTAATATACAAACAGAAATAAAAGACTAAACTAACCTCTACCATATATTTATATATTCCAGTATTACGATATATTTGTACCTCTCTTCTCTGTTCAGCTAGATTGATACTGCATAATCATACTCATTCAACGTATTGTATAGTTAACCCACAACCCCTTTTACCACTGTGAATAGCATCAGGGATGAAAGTCACAGGCTGATTCAGATGTGTGCCTGGCATAGACTTTACTACAATCTGCCTGAGGGTGAGTAGAGACAAAGAGGAAAAAGTAATTACTTATTTGTATGCTTCAGAAATTCATGAGAAAAGGCCTATTGAAATAATTGCTGGCCTACAAAATGTTTCACAGACAACAGACCTGCTTTGTTTTTAAGGGATCATGGGATCCCACAGGTATATTTGGAGTCTGAACTGACACAGTCCACGAATGAAGGATCGATGGGCTATTTAGCTGTACCTCGGTCACTTGACCTTCTTTAGTTACCACATTCCTGCTCCTGTTCTCTGGGATCAGCCTTGGCCCAAATTTATCTTGAGGATAATGGGATTTGCATCATTTCTCTACCTTAAATTTCTTTCATTTGAAATGAGCAGGGAGTGTATTAAAAAAAAAAAATCTTCCCCAGTTCAAACACCTTTGTACTATGCTGCTGATTCAATGATGGCATTTGAAGAAGAGAGATTATTCCAGAACATTTTTATAATGTTGTATAATCATGTACATATCTAATTCCTTTGTTAATATATAGATAAAAGTCTATGTAAATAATCGTTTCCAATTATGCAAAAGAATGTAATTTTATCTCCAAAATGTTTTTTGAAAGTTAGTGTCACCGGCAACCATATTTCCTAGAGCAACTTAATTGCTTGGATTCTACTTACTTGAAATATTTCTCTTAGATTGGTGAAGCAACTGTCTCAACCCTTGGCAGGATCTCTGGAATAAGGAACAAGTTCTCTGTGAATAAAGATTGCTTGAGGCAGATTGTCCCTTCAAAATTAGCCAAACTAACTAGTATGCATGTTTAAAAATGCAGAAATGACCTCACACTATAGTAGTAATTATGCTCAGGAATTGAAAAATGAATTTCTCTTTAAATTTCTTTAAATTACAGCAAAACGAGGACTTTAAGTGACCACAATTGTCAGCCCAGATACTAGGCCAATTTGAGCTAATATTGCAGAAATTTACAACGCAATGCAATGTGGAAAGAACCATAAATGAAACTGGTAAAGAAAGCCTGCTCTGCAAAGCATCAAAAATAAATCAATGATGCAAGCCAAACACCATACACTATAATAAACTTGTTCCAACTGAAGTACCGTATTTTTCAGTAGACACACTCTCCCCGTCTCCACAAAAGTGGGTGGAAATGTCACTGCGTCTTAAATAGCGAATGTTGCTGAAGCCCTGGTCGCCCGACGGCCTCATCCTTTGGCCTCTGTCTCCCAGCAATTTGCCTCCTTGCAGCAAACAGCAAAATTTAGCATGAGCAAC